TCTGTCAAATCTTCCAGGCCTGAGTAAAGCGGAATCAAGAATTTCAGGCCGATTAGTGGCAGCAATCACAATCACTCCACTGTTGCCACTAAATCCATCCATCTCAGTTAGCAACTGGTTTAGTGTTTGCTCCCTCTCATCATTTCCTCCGCCAATTCCTGTCCCTCTCTGCCTTCCTACAGCATCGATTTCATCGATAAACACTAAACATGGCGAATTAGCTTTCGCCTTGTTGAATAGATCCCTAACTCTTGATGCCCCAACACCTACAAACATCTCTATGAACTCTGATCCTGACAAAGAAAAGAAAGGGACACCAGCCTCTCCTGCAATTGCCTTTGCAAGAAGTGTCTTTCCAGTTCCTGGTGGCCCAACTAGAAGAACTCCTTTTGGATTCTAGCGCCAACTGCTGCAAACTTTTCCGGTGTTCTCAAGAACTCAACAATCTCCTGAAAGTCCTCTTTTGCCTCCTCTACTCCAGCTACATCATTAAATGTTACTCCTGTATTAGGTTCCATCTCAAATTTTGCTTTGCTTCTGCATAAAAACAAAAAATACATTAAAAAACTAAAAAAGGAAAATATCCATTTAGGCTGGTTACCATCTGTATATATATTATCTACTACCTGCCGAGTCCAAAAGGCAAGTTGGGACCTCCAGGAGTGTTAGTGGAAGGCGTTCTTAGTAAAAGAGTACCAAGCAAAATCAATGGAAAAGCTAAGTTTCCAAGCAAGTCAAGAAAAGCACCTCCCCAGTTGACTTCCATGGGATAAGCTGCAAAATCAACATTCTTGTCTTTCATTTTCCTGATCAGTTCTCTTGGTAATCCTGGTAACTGAATCTTGACTCTCTGGATCTTGGCAAGAGTAGGGTTGTAAATTTCAGCAATGGCGACAGTCCCGTTCTCCAGCAAGTCTACCTTTCTCACAGCACCTTCATCCAAGTACTGCAAAAACCCGGAATATGACATTCTACTTGAAGTGCTCTCAATTGGCCTCTCTGGCTCAGCTCTTGCAGGCTGAGCAAGAGAGAATCCCATTCCAATAAGGCCTAAAGCAGTTGAAGTTACAAGCTTTCTTTTACTTAGCTTGATGAGATCTTGGGGTGATTTGAGAGATGGGTTTTGTCTAGGAACAGGTTTAAGAAGGTGGGTTTCCTTTAAAATTTCCTGAGATTTGCAGAATGGAATGTTGGGGAGAGAAAGAGATGCAGCAGCTGACATTTTCTCTGTTAATCCAGAGATCAAATTGTAGGCCTAGACAGTGTGGTAACCGTCTGTTTGTTGATTGATTGAGCAGTTCTTGGTTGGATTAGTTGTGTTTTGGAGAGGATTCACAGAGGCGTCGAATATATACATATATATATATATATATAGGTAAGGCACGTAATCGGGATGCTTCTAGCACTTTCAATTTTGATTTTCTTGAATGGATTTTCTGGGATTCATGAAGCATCTAGTGAGTACACAAGGAGTCGCCTTTTTTGGCCTTTTTTTAATAATGAAATTAACAGGAGAAAATTTTTAATCCTCTCCATCCTCCATCAAATGTTGAAGAGTTTACCATAATGTTTCTAAAATTAAAAATTGCTTTTGGAGTTAATTTGCAGGTTGAATGAAAACTTCCTTTCAGTATTGACGAATTCAAACCCATGCATTTTGTTGTTTTATGGGAAACCATACACTTGGAAATAGAAAAGTGGGTACATTAGATTTTCGATCCTGTTGTGTTCCAAAACGTGTTAATCCATATATATATATATATATATATATATATATATTTTGCTTTTATCTTTGTGTTTCTGTTCCGTTGTTTGATGCCACGAGGTGTTAGTACTTGTGTGTGGCTGATATATTTTATGAGACATCTTCTCCTGGGAAAAAAAAAAGAGAAGAATAATACAAGAGAAAGATGGAAGTAATGGCGTCTGGGAAAATGTTACTAAAAAAAATTAAAGGTAATCACAAAAAAATCGATTTTATTAGTTCCAAATGTTATAAATTGGTGAACCCGTAAGGATACATCTATTATCTATTATACATATACATATATATATATATATATGTAAAGAAGATACAAAAAACTCTCATATGACATTTTCTTATTCTTAAAAAATATTTTAAAATAAATATGTAGTAATTTATAATTTTTAAAATAATATTTTAACTAAAAAATCTTAATTAATTATATAATTTCATCCTAATTTATGAAATAATTTTATACTATTTTAATTTAAAAATTATAAATTTTTTTTCTAATTGTTTAATTAAAAAATATAAAATCAAAATTAATTGTCTATTAAACTACACTACTGATATCTAGTATATAAATTAAATTCATATAATTAAAAACTATACAATAATTTAAATTTTAACTTTTACGTATCAGTCATTGAATTGGGTTGCTCATGAAAACTATTTAATTGAAAAATATATCAAATGTCTAATTAAAAACTTTATCTTAATCAAAACAGAGTAAAAAACACATTTGTCCAAATTTTATTAAAGTAATTATTACACTGAAATTAAATATCCGAAGATTTTGCTGAGTTAATATTACTTAACGAAGGACAAATTAGTTTAAATTAAAACTTATGGTAATTGACTAATTAAATTTTTTAATATAATTAAATTCATAAAGAGCAGCGGTTGAATAATATAATAACTTAAAATTATAAAAATTCGAGTCTTATAATATTTACAATTATATCGTTTTATCTGTTTTTAATATTTAAATCAATCACTTACACATCTTAGATAAGGTAAAAATTGTGCATGAATCTCAAATTAATTTCATGTTAAGTTTTTATTTTTATTTTTATTTTTAATATGAGAAAATTCTTTGAAAATCTAAATGAGATTTGTGGTATCTTCAATTTCTTAGAGTTGATTCCTCAATTTGATAACTAATTAATGCTAATGCTATTCAAAATAAGAAACTT